TTATTTTTTGCTCGTCTTTCGGCTACTTATGCTTGAAGTAAATGATGTAAATATTGATGTACATAAATATGCACCTTATGTATTTTGCTCAAAGTATTCTTGTATAGAAAACTTGTTAATAGTTTAAAAAAAAAGTTAATTAGTAGACTGCAGAGAATTGTTTACAAGAATATTACTAAAAAAAAAAAAACAATCTTAGGATGAAAAAGTGAAAAACATTTGATTTTTCCATACTTAACGAAGCTTTGATATTCTCTGAGATTTGACTAAAAAAACAGTGTGAAATATAAACTTAAATACAACCAAGTTTTTTTTAATAAACAAAAACTTATTTTTTAAGCTCATAAAGTCTTTGATAAAGTTGCCTTCAAGCACACGCCGCGCATTTCTAGCTCGAACCAGCATCAACAGAATATATAAACTAAATGGAGTCGAGAATTCCTTTGTAATATCAGAGTCGGGTATGGGATATAAATGTCAATAGCTTGGTGAATGATGTTGTGAAACATGACATAGACTTGGCCTTTCTCATTGACCAGAACTTTACGAATATAATGCTCCCTTTTCTTTTGAGTGATGAATTTGTTTTATAGTCAATAAGAAAACCACTCATTTTTGTTGCAAACTATGCAAAAATATATAACATCAGGTTCCTGATCTCGCCCTTATCCCCCAATTGACCCAGAGCCCTTCCGTGGGTCTACACAAAAACCATGGATGCATCTTATTTCTAGAGGAATTCTGGGAATTAGCATTAGTGCTCTAGCAAGGGTCTCCGACAATCTAGTGGTAGCAATACGACCCAATCCTTTTGGTTCGAAGCCCTTCCGTTAGCCGAAACATGCCTAGAAGGATAGAAACATGAGAACTTCTGGCTATATAAAGCGTGTGCCCCACCTTGCCCTCTGCCTGTGCTTACATGTTACGTACATGGAAATGTACACATATATTATAAATATATCTGTATATATATGTATATGTAGGTAAATCGGAACCGTTAATTTGTAGGCAGTCCCCCACAACTACAACGACACGTAAATTGTTTGTCAAACAAGCGTCTCACTAAACTTAGTAGAAGCATGAATGGAAAGCATAAAATAAATAATTCGATTAATTTCTAACAATATTGTTGCTTAGATATGATGTTCGTGTGTGACTTACCTTGTTTGTGCTTCTGACAGCTGCAATTCGTTCAGTATTGTGTCTGTGTTTGTGTTATTTATGTTGTCCTCTACGCGAAGATTATTATTAATTAAATTGAATGGTTTTAACACTGTAAACGGAGCATCGCCATCAATATCATTTGCATAAGAGCCGAGTGCCAAATTTACACAATTTGCGAATGCTAGAATCGTAATTATAAAAGTAAGACAAATGACGTTTGTTGTTTGTGGACCTTCCAATGTAACACATAATTTTGGACGTGCAATTGATTTTCCATCTCTCACACGCGGCATTCGCAAAATCGAGTTGTCGGTAATTATTTTTGATTTTGACACTTTAGTCCGCCTATGACATTGTTCCAAACACTTTTCACTCTTTTCCATAATACGTATTTGTTGTGATTTATGCACGCAGTATTTATGAATTATATTATATTAATATGACAATATCCGTCCGCGCAATACTTTGTTGGCACAAATAAAGCTCCAAGAAGCAATATACCTGCTCGTGCAATGCGCTATATACGTACGTATGTAATAGTCAACAGTGTGACCGTAGCGGCTTACACAATTATACTTAATATATAATCTGAAAATACCAAAAAAACCAACAAGTTAAGGGGACCCATATAACTGATTGTCTACAACTTAAACAAACAATAAACAAAATTAATTAAATTCACAGGTTCAACCGTGTTATCCATAAAGATATTCTACATATCATAACATTTATCATCAAACAGTTCTTTCATCTTAACTAATTAAAAGTAGAGAAACACTGCTTCAAATAAATTTATTTCTTATTATTTCATTGTAATAATTCAAATCAGTGCCCAATATCAGAACTTATCTTTTGAAAGGTACAGGTATTCAAATCGAATATTAATTGAAATAAAAATAGTAAATTTAAAACCTCAAGTCATTTAAAGATTTCCGGAACACATCTGAACAAGTTCAGTAGTTCATTGAAATGATCTGTTCATTTGAACTTAACGTGAACTGTTTTATTTTGTTGCTGGAAATATAGCAAAGTGAATGAAGGTAACATAAGTTAGCCAAATATGGACAATTTGGAGGATTTTTCTGCAATTGACATTGTTACGTTCGTAACTGAGGAACTACAGCAAAATTACCGAAGCAACAATGCCAACAAAACGAAAGTCTTTGAAGAATTTCTCGAGCGCTGGGACGCAAACGACAATTCCATTGCAAAGGTGAAATCTTTACACTTTGAATTCGAGCCTGGTACGTTTACAAATTACACTATTCAACATGTCAATAATTTCTTTTTACGCTTGCATGCATGCGTTTAGATTTGGATTGGTTCAATGTCAGCAGGCCGCTGACACTGGCTGGACTACGCGGTAAAATAGTCGTGCTGGATTTCTTTACATACTGCTGCATTAACTGTATGCATGTGTTGCCCGAGCTGCGAGCTCTGGAGGAGAGGTTTCCCGTTGAGAGCGGACTTGTCGTTGTGGGAGTACATAGCCCCAAATTCGAAAACGAGCGTACTGCGGCAAACATTCTTTCTGCAGCGCAGCGATATGGCATAAAGCATCCCATAGTAAACGACTCCAAATCCGCATTGTGGCGGGCGCTGAGCATACGCTGTTGGCCTTCGCTATTGGTTTTAAGTCCCAGCGGACTGCCGATGTTGTTGTTAATGGGCGAAGGTCACGGCGAGTTTCTGCACGACTTTGTTGGCGCGGCTCTATCATTTTTTGGCCGGCAACAAAAGATCGACGCCTTCAGTCTGCCGCTCCACCTGTCAACGGATCTCCTTCCGGCATCCAATCTGCGTTTCCCAGCAAAAATTGCTATGTTTAACGACTACTATGCCATAGCTGATGCTGGCAACAATCGCGTGCTAGTAGTGACAACTTCTGGAGTAGTAGAGTATAAGGTTGGCGGACTCGAGGCCGGGTTTGTGGACGGCAATTTAAATACGGCACGATTTAATAATCCTCAGGGAGTAGCGTTTCTCGATAAAGACACACTAATAGTTGCTGATACCGATAATCATGCACTTCGGCAAATTTCCCTGAAAAGTGGAGCTGTAGAAACACTAGCTGGAACAGGATGCCAGGGCAATGACCGCACCGGAGGAAAACTGGGTCCGTTGCAGCCAATATCGTCGCCCTGGGATGTGAGTGTATTCCGCACTCGGGACATGGATATGTCCTTCCACGTGGACGAGCTAAATGTACCAGAGAAACCAATTGTACTGATAGCCATGGCTGGTACGCATCAGATTTGGGGTTATTTTCCCGAAGGCATTATTTGGTGGAAGTTTCGCAAATTCGAGCCACGTTGCTGTGTGTCATTAATAGGCAACGGCCTCGAGGAAAATCGAAACAACTCCTATCCACAGAACGCCGCATTTGCGCAGCCCTCAGGCTTGGCTATGTCCAATGACTACCTTTTTATAGCAGACAGCGAAAGCTCTAGTATACGAAAAGCTTCAATGGTCGACGGTAAAGTCATGCCCGTGGTTGGGGGAGATCGCAACCCGTTGGTAAGTTGAATGGCCTTAAATATAAAAGAAGCATATAAATTAATTATTTACAATTAATAGAATCTTTTCGCGTTTGGAGATGAAGATGGCAAACTTTACAACGCAAAACTTCAGCATCCATTGGGCGTTGCGTTCAACCAAATAGATCGCAAGCTTTATGTAGCCGACACATATAATCACAAGATAAAGGTAATCGATACTGACACAAATATAATTTCTACGTTGGTCATCAAGAACAAAGATGATAGCATCCTGGCATTTAGAGAGCCATCTGGAATTTGCGTCGATGCCGAAGGAAATAGATTATTAGTTGCTGACACAAATAACCACACGATTCATATAATTGATTTGGCTACGCATACGGCCCAACCATTTTTGCTGGACTTTAAACAAATTTCTAGCACCAGCGAAACGGACGCACCTCTAACTTCATTAAGAGGAGTTGGCGCACAGCTGGTTAAGAATATTCCTTTGCTCCAGCATAGAGGCAGCACTATAAACTTCTCCATAAGGCTTTCGTCGGACCTAAAGTTTACGGCCGATGCTCCACAAAAGTGGACTATGAAAATTATAAATCCGGCTTTGGAAATGAAACACACATGTGGAAAATTAACCGAAGGAAAATGTAGTTTGCATATAAGGCATTTGGAAAATATTGCGTCTGAAACAGTTAGCGAAGCTAATCAAACTGTTTTGGTAATTGAATTTGCGTTGAGCCTTTGTGATGCAAAAAGCTGCCTTATGAAGAAATTCACGGTTTCCATTGTAAGTGAACGTCCCGAAGAAGGTTCGCCTCTTCCTTCCAGTGTCAGTGGTGGTGATGATACACTTAACGCGGATATTGGAGTATATATAAATCAATCTAATATTAATTTGTGTTAATAAATAATAGGTGCCTGATTAGACAGTTTAAGAATAAAATGAGCTTCACAATTGTAATGTAAATTCTAAAAATTACAGTCGGAGTATAAAAAAAAAACCTGGAAACATATGAAATATAGTTTCCTTGAACATAGGCTTATGAATTTTATATGGAATGGATTTCCTTACAGTACAGTTACAGGCATACATAATTATATGTAGTTCAACATTATTTAAAGCCAATATGATCTTGCTAACTTTGTGCACAGACTTTAATTTGGTAAATCGACCATCATAGCATTACATTTTGATGGGGATTTACCATTGTGTATTGATCTTAATGGATAAATTTTAAAATGTTGTATGTAACATGTTCTTGATGTTTTAAATTATTATAATTGAAATAAAACTTTGATGTTTATTAAATAAATTGTATGAAAAAATTGTCATTACTGACATTAACAATTATATTTCTGAAATATTGAACTAGAGTTTTTTGCAAATACTCTTTGCCGCCTCCGAGCCTCCAGTTGCTTTGCAAACTTCGGAAAGTAAGTCCTTTAGAATGGATTCCTGTCTGCCTTGCGAACCATCTATTGTTATTGTTGGAATAAATTTAACTGGTGGTCGCAGTGCATTTGTTGCATCTCCGTTGAGTTTCAGTAACTCGGAGCCGTGGTCGCTATCAAAGCACTTCTGTATAAGATCAATATTTTCAACATTGTACTGCTTGGCACACTGCAAGGGATATGGGAATATATATATATATATGTAAAAAATATTGAGTGTAAATAGTTCGACAAACAGCTGAACCTTATGCATTGCATCTTTGGGAATACGATTGTCTCGAATCATGCAGGTGACCACTTCCAAGCGAATTAGCGGATCATCAATCACTTCTGCAGCGCATGCATGATAAGTATTCGCTTGGCATTCCGTCGGACCATGTTGGCAGTCAAATATCAACTTGCCTTCATCGTCTGTTGTCGTGTGTGCCTTAAAATCAAAATATTGATTTCCGAATTAAAGTGCTGTACACATTTAACTAACCTTGCCATAAGGCACAAGCTGCACTTCCATAATCGGGGCAGCGACTTTGTACGCGGTCAGCAGTTGCTTGGTAATAAAGTATTTGGAGTCCGGACAAAGGGCTTCATAAAATACTGTTACTAATACGGGTAGTGGGGCTCCTCCCGACGCCCTGCGATAGTTTGGTTCCTCCTAAAAAAAAAACAACAACAATAAAATCAATTTACACAATTAACGTTAGAATTGTCGGAACTTTAAATCTACCTTAAAATGCATATGTATATATAAATATACCCTAATTAGATCTGGGGACCATTACATATAAGACTTCAATTAAATCAAAATGAAACCATGAAGCCAATTTTGTTTTCTTGCCGTTTACCGTTTACTTATCGCCCATAAACAAGCGTTTTACATGTCAAGAGCACGATCCAAGTATTCATGTACACACACCTGTTTTTCGTGTATGTAGTTAGTCGTACAGATACTTAAAATGAATGCATACGGAAATGCTTTATCAGCATTTGTGCGTGAATACCTGGCACTTACCTTTAAAACCAGTAATTGCTGGGGAAAGAGTAGAATTCGCAGCAAAAGTCCTAGTGTGACAATTAAGAAGATAAGTATAAAAATTCGTTTCCGTGTGGGTATCATTTAGTATCCAATTCATTGAGCAAAAAAATAACAATTTGTGCAGTATGTGCAATTATAAAACACGTTAAGACATATACATAGGTGTACTAAGAGGGGAGAACAAATATAAGTAATAAACCAACATCATATCAATAAACACGTATTGTCCCAAACTCCTAACGCACAAGTACTAAAATACACCAAAAAACATTGTACAAAAATACCATACGCGAAATCCTAAGAAGGCAATGGTCGTGCCATGAGTTGGTCACCTAAAAAAGTATTTTAAGTGGGAAAAATACAAATACGTTATATCTATACTAATTCAAACAGCAATGCGAAGGGACGCACTGATATTATACGTTTTTATTGTTTTTGTAATCATGAATTAATTGAAATGAAATATTCAAGTATATCCGTCCGTGGAAATTTAAAAAATAATTTAAGCCTACCTTTACTGTTCCGACTTCCATGTCTAGTTATATGTTATGCAATAAACACAACACTTATTTGAAACTAAGGGGATTTTTATTTGGTATGACTGAAGGTAAATATATATCAGTAATTTGAATTTAACAAAGATTAAAGCTGTATAAACGCATATACTTGCATTTCGGAGCAAGCCTAACACATACAAAATTGACGATTCAAAGGTAAAATATTCAAGTAGAAATATTTGGAATTTTAAAACTTGTACGATTAGAAGATACTTTAACACTTCTACCGATTCCAATAATCGGCAACAAATTCGTACTGTGCGGACACTAGAGGGACCCACGTCTAAGATTTCCAGTCTCTAGCTCTCACGCACATCGGGGAGCCGAAGCTGAGTGCTCATTCCATTTTACGCTCTTCAAGGTAAGAATTAATTAAATTTAAAATCAGTCACTGTTCAGATCTCCTTGTTAAATAATCATTTTAGCTTTCTTCTACTCTGGTAAAGAATTTAGTAACCAACTAACTATCTAGCTTTGAAATAGACGTGACTACTATGGACTTTGGTTCTAACTCCTATAATCTATACACTGCAATTCAAGACAAGATTCTACTGAGAACAAAAATTGGTGTTTTCAAACTCAGCGTTAAACACTGAAGATATCTCCTTTATCATATCACTGGCGACCAAACTGCGTCCTAGCTTTTGAAATGCTGCGAAATTGATTTTTTTCACGAAATAACTTGAGGCACAAGCAGCTAAATATGCCGGATTGGGTTGGTTGGACTGCAAAGACCAATAAAAAAACGTTGCCAGCGAACCGCTTAATAAATCGCCCTGACCACCACAACGGCGGCCGGATCCACCCGTTGGCATGGTGTACACTTCATTGGTGTGTGGTATATGGATCTTATCATTGGCGCCCTTTTCAAGGATCACAACCCCATCGCCAAGCAGTGACATCCTTTCGCGTGCAGTCGCAACATCTTTGCCAAATAATCTTTGAAATTCGATTGCATTTGGCGTCAATATAACGTCGCGTTGGCCACATACTAACTGGATATTATCGTTCAGTATGAACAGCCCATCTGCGTCTACCACAATGGGTTTCCCGATCTCAAGGCATAGCTTCATAACATCTGTTGCGGTTTTAAGAATACGAGTATCTCGCCCTAAGCCTGGTCCAATTACCTGTAAGCCAGAAGAAGCTTTGTAAAGTGGGCAAACATTTAATGTGCTATGTACATACAAGAACATGTAATCGGTCAATCCACGGTCTAATTTGTTCAACAGCATCGTCACGGTCCAGCACAGGATGCACAATTAGGTCGGGGCTGTATGATTTTATAACTGTTGCCGCTTCGGTATGACAGAAAACGTGTGATAAGTCCGCTCCCACTTTCATAGCAGTTATTGCTGCGAAATAGGGTGCTCCAGTATATTCCAGGGATCCGCCGATTACACCGATGCGACCATATTGACCTTTATATTTTCCATTACTCAGTTTGGGTATAATTGTTCTGAATATAGTCAACAGCTTCTCTGTATGTACTGGTATTTGTATTATTTTCGACATTTTGTTGAAGTAGGCTGTTGAACAGAGGCAAAGAGAACCACATAAATTATTATATTTTTCACACTTTTACTGTAAACTTTGCACTGTAAAGATTGTTGACCACATCGATGTTTCCAATTTTCAATTCGATTGTTTTCTAGTGATATAATATACCGATAGTTTCAATTGTTCAACCATGCCGCTCTCAACTATCGATAACTATTTTTTACGTACAAGAGGGCCAAAATCAGCTGTTCTCTGTTTACAAATCAGCAATTGAGTGGCAAGCTAATACAAAATGCAATCCATTAATAGAAATTTAATTTGTTTGACTTCTTTTCAACACACTTATAAATAAATAGTTTGGTTACAAAAAAAACATGCCGGCTCTAACCTCGACGTCGTTTAATTTCTTAGTGCCTTGCGGTATTTTCCTGGCAATTACGATCAGCTGCTAGTTTTTTTTTGTGTAAGGCTGGCAACCTTAACAATTGGTCAAAACGTATCAACAAATGGAAAACGTTACTGGGAAAGCATTGATATATATATTCGTTTTAAGAGCAAAATCTAAAACCTGTGAAACCTCCATAAAAATCCAATCAAATCTAATTAAAAAAGTATTTATGCTAGATAAACAAAAACACTTACGATTTTGGGAATACCCTCTATGCGCTTATTAGCAAAAAAAATGAAGATCTGGTAGCCCCATGCCACCTGATCTATGTGATAAGATGTATGTATATTGTGCACATTGTATACATTTACATACGTACATTCGCCAGCGAATCAACATACTTTGTTGCGCAATAGTGTTTAGAATCTTAACTTTTGTATTCCATATTATTTCTATAAATTTAAAGAATAATCATGAAAGTATCTTCGCTGGCCCGGGGTTTGTTCAGTGCAATAAAGTCGAATGCGGCATCTTCAACCCGCTCGCACTTCACATATTACCCGACTAAATTCTCGCCAGGCACCCGCGATGTACAAAAAATGAATATGTTCCAAGCAATAAACAACGCAATGGATCAGGCTCTTGAACAAGACTCGTCAGCATTATTATTTGGCGAAGATGTCGGCTTCGGTGGAGTTTTCCGGTATTTTTAATTTAGCTTGCGGTATTTTATACCACGCTTATGGTAATTTTCTTATTATAATAGTTGCTCTGTCAATTTGCGGGACAAGTACGGAAAGGATCGTGTCTTTAATACACCATTGTGCGAGCAAGGCATTGCTGGGTTTGTATATATATATTCTACATTGACTTTCAATTTCAAACCTCTATTTATAATTCAAAGAAGAAGAAACAATAATCTTTCAATTTAAGAAAAATACCAGAAACTGCACAGATGCATTTGGTTAACGGCAAAAATATGTATGTAGAATCTTCTGGATCGGCACTATATCATATACCTTTTGAACCTTACCGGTAGAAAACAGTGCTCTTTAAAGTTTCATCCGTACGGCCTCAAACTGATTAAAAAAAAATTAAATGTTAATAAAAACGTGATTCAGCGAATAAGCAATTTTCAAAAGTAACTGTGGAAATTTGGCGCAAAATTTTCAATTTAAAAAAAAATTGTATAAGTTCATTCACTCTTGTCGGATAGACAGATAGATGGATAGGTAAAAGATTGAGTGAAAATGAGAGAACTTTTGATCTAAATGGACTTCGAACTCGTTTCTCGTTTTCAAATATCGGGAAGAGCAAAAAACTGTTCCCGCTTATTTGCAAGCAGAATTTCAAATTTGAATGGAAGCGTGTTTTACACTTTACGAAAAGTTATGCGCTTTCACAAGAAGATTGTAGGAAGGGGTGCAGCGGGGGAGCGTATATAATAATTTTATAATCTAATTTTTCTAAAATATTATTATTTTTTTTTCTAGCTTTGCTATCGGCGTGGCCAACACAGGCGCTACCGCCATAGCCGAAATTCAATTTGCCGACTATATATTTCCGAGCTTTGATCAAATCGTAAATGAGGCTGCCAAATATCGTTATCGAAGCGGTGGTCTATTTGACTGCGGTTCCTTAACGTTCCGAGTACCTTGTGGCGCTGTCGGACATGGTGCCTTATATCATTCACAAAGTCCAGAGGCATACTTCGCGCACACGCCCGGTCTACGTGTTGTGGTAAGAAATTGTTTTAGTTATTAGCACGCATTATCAAAATATTATAATTATTAATTTTGTGCATAGTTTTTCTGTTTGCCCAGAAATCCTATTTTGTGAAACTAATTTATTTATAAAAAAAAAAATTGACAGATTCCGCGTGGTCCAATTAAGGCAAAGGGTCTCTTACTGGCGTGCATTCGCGACGCAAATCCGTGCATAATGTTCGAACCCAAGACCTTGTATCGCGCAGCGGTTGAGGACGTGCCAACGGAAGCCTATGCGGAAGACTTGGGAAAATGCGATATTTTGCGTGAGGGTAAGGATGTCACTCTCGTCGGCTGGGGCACACAAGTACATGTTCTTTTGGAAGTAAGTGCTGGTCTAAAAACCAAATTGAATCAAATTGATGTGTTTATTTTAATCGTATAGGTCGCAGATCTGGCGAAAAAGCAGCTGGACATTGATTGCGAAGTTATAGACTTGGTGTCAATTTTACCATGGGATACTCAGACAATTTGCAATGTAAGACACGTTCATTATATTGGGAAAATTATATTGTTTGTATATATAAATTTTCTTTTTATTTCAGTCCGTTAATAAAACTGGCCGCGTGCTGATCGCCCACGAAGCACCATTTACTCAAGGCTTTGGTTCTGAAATGGCAGCGTATATACAGGAAAAGTGCTTTTTGCGTCTTGAGGCCCCGGTTAAGCGGGTAACTGGCTGGGACACTCCATTCCCTCATGTTTTCGAACCTTTTTATTTACCCGACAAACATCGCTGCCTAGCCGCTCTCAAGGAAATCATCAATTATTAATCTTTTACCAATGACTATATATACTCGTAACGGATGCATTTATTTACAATTATTTTGTTGTTTTATTCTAATTGCGAAAAGAGAAGCTAAACCAATAAATAATTTTGGAACAAACGAGTCTATATATATGTGTATATATGGAGTCTAGGCGTACCAAATGAATTTGTTATCAGAAGAAGTATTTCTAAAAATGTGTTGCTGTGCGATTTCGATATTGGAAAATATTCTTTTAAGGACTTTCAATATAATAATAATGGCTGTGGCTTTGAGGACTTTTTTGTTACGGTAGACTTTACACTTTTAAGCAAAATAAATAGCCTAATTAAATCTCGACGCTTAACAATTTGGCGACCAACAGCGATATACCATATAATTCTACAGATCTATGAAATTTTGTACTTCCAGAATTCCCTTAAAGACAGAGTAAACTATATTACGGCCTTGCGAATTCCAATATTTTAGTTATTAAAAAATGCTTATAATAAATTTATAGTTTGAAATTCGCCCCCAGATACAAGATTTGAATAAGTGTGCATTTGCTGTAAAGGAATATTCGAGAACAATCAAAAAACCAGTTTTGATGATTTATTGCACCAAAATCTTTGGCAATGAACAGGGCGTATTAATTAATATATGTATATATAAGTTTGCTCATATCAACTACTTCATAACTATATATGTAATTACAAAAAAAATGAATAAAGACTAATGAAGAAATTGTAATAATTGAAATATATTATAGATTAATTAATTGGCGCTATGTGCTTAACCCATGTCCTCACAGTGATAGTATATTGATGTATACATATTGGGAGGGAATCGGATTCCGTAAAGATTATTATCACATTTATCACTATTTTTCACGTTTTGGTTTACTAAAAGAAAGGTAACAGAATATTATTTTAACGACAGTTAATACATTTAATTTTTTTTTTAAATATTTACAACTAAAACTGTGTTCATAAATTATGATATTTCACTTGTGTATAAAATCACGGCATACGAAATAAATGGGATGTGATAATTGCTCTTGAAAATAATAATATTTTACTTTCTAGCCATTGCGATTCCTAGACCCAATATGCCACCGAGCACGAGCGCTGCTCCACCAGCAACTGCAATACCCTTCGCAACCTCCTTATCGCTTTGTTTCTTAATGTGTTCCTAGTATTCAAAACAAAATTCGCAATATTACACTTATTTGCCGAGGATATCAAAATTATCATCATAAACTTGCCTCTAACGAGCGCACTTGATCATTCGATTCAATTTCGAGAAATGCTCTACAGTATTTTAGGCCTTCTGAATAGTTTTTAATTCGTGCATTTCCAAAGGCGAGATAATAAATGTAATCGCGTCGTCCATCCGGGTGTAACCGCGCAAGATCCTCCAAAATCATGATGCCCTATTTTGAAATTGCACATTTAGTCATATGTATGTATGTACATATGTATATGTATGTACGTTTGTATGTATGTATGTTAATTAGGCATACTACGCATGCAAAGTAAGTGCAGTTACTGACTCACCTTTCTGATGTCGTTGGTGTAGCGACTCCGAACGAGACAGAATGCGTATCTACCATTTCAAGAAGTAGAGGTAGAGCGTAACATTTAAATAAAAACATTTAAACAAAACTCTCTTACGTACTCAAATTTTGTTTCTGTTGAGACCTCGCCATCGAGTTCAAGCTCATGGTAGTATTTCCTTTCGAACCTCTAAAACAAAATCATTTAACAGATATTCATATGTGGTCTATATGTGTATTGCATACCTCCAAATCTTCTTGGGGCACAACGTCGTTCAACAGTTCCTCCATTGTTTGTTGTATTTCACAATATAATAAATTGCTTGTATATAAATATGAATGTACAGAGGAAAAAACTTTGACGATAGTATTTAGTGATGAAAAACCAGCGATGAGTGAAATAAGGGTTACTGTAACTGTTATCTATCATTTACAAGGGGTTCATTCTGGTAAGCACTAAATTACATACATATGGTATATTCAAAATTCCATTAATTGCAAAAAAAAAACTTTTTTTAAACACGTCTCAAAGTTTTGATTTCTTAATTATGTGCTTTAGTTATGTTGCACATTGCACATTTTACGAAAAAATTATTTAAGTAATGCTTGCTTACAACTCTCTACTAATTTGATGTATTAAAATACTGCAAATAGTAAATAGTCGCGTACACAATACGAAAACTAGTTCATTCAATATTTGCAAGATCTGGTAACATTTCAATTGCCGATATCTGGCAAGGTGCTTGACTGGCAGCCCTGTTTTAGGCAACCATATTTTTTCTGTCTACAAACCAAAACAGAAATACCTACATACATATACATAGTAATGGTTTAATAAATGCGGTTTTACGAATTCAGTTTTCCAATATTTCAGTTTCCGTTTTAGTGTAATTATGAAACTAATTAAGAACTGAAACCATATCAGGTGATAAGGAGCAATACTCAAACAAAGTATCTACACCACACTTGCAAATGGAGCAACAGCAACAAAAAAGCGCAGCTCACGTCTCTAAGTTGTTTGTCTGCACGGCTGTTGACTGTAAAGATGAAATCGAAGAGGTAAATTCGGCTTACACACTGAATTAGATTGTAGCAACTACCATGTTTTTTGTTTTGTGCTCATTTAGAAGTTCGAGCGATCTTACGTTAGCCTGCAGCAACAAATTGCGGGCCTCAGTGATAAGGAAATGCACGATATGCTCACACAAATCGTTTGCAAGGAAAAACAGCATGAGGAGATATCCATTGGCTTTCTCTACATTATATTAACTGATCCGGCAATGGCGCCAAAAACATATCGGGACATAACTCTTGTGTCCAGGGATGGCATGAATGTAATTGTGGCAAATCTCACCCTCTTAGTGGCTGAAAAGTACGCCAAACTAACGGAGACTGCTCGGAGACAATTGATCTGGGTGTTGCGTGAATTTGTGAAGCACCAGGTTCTTAGTGTCGAAAATGTGATTTGGAATTGTTTGCGTCAAGCCGGCGGCGGGGACGTCTCCCATAAAAATCTGTTTCTTGTGGAGAGCCTTTTGGATATTTTCATAGAGTATAGGGCGTGGCTGGAAGCCATACCCTTCCTAGTACAGTCGTCGGTTTACAGTTTTGTACGCCTTATAGAGGACCATGCCAATCCTGCCTTGATGCCACTGCGTCAAAAAGAGGTTAAGTTTACAATATCATTGATTCGGGATCGATTTCAAGATATTATACCATTGGGAAGAGATTTTGTACGGTGAGTTGACCACCGTTTTTTTTCTTCTCTATTTTATTACTATTCAAATTTGTTTGCTGATTGTGTGCCTAATAATCTTAATTAAAGGTATAAAGATATGTTTGGTGCACATTTTAATATAAACAAGATTTTAACAATTGTTTTGTACTTTGCTTTTCCCGCAGGCTTTTACAAAATGTTGCACGCATTCCGGAATTCGAACTGCTATGGCGAGATATCTTATGCAATCCGAAAAGCTTACATCCGACATTTAACGGGATTTGGCATTTATTACAAATACGTACGAGTCGGCGATTTTTACAATGTCGTCTACTTCCTGAAATGGAGCGTAAACTGCACTTTTTGGCTTCGTCTGTCAAATTTGGCAATCAGAAGCGCTACCAGGATTGGTTTCAGGACAAATATTTTGCTACGCCTGAGTCGCACAGCTTGCGGTCTGACCTGATTCGCTTTATAATAAACGTAATTCATCCCACAAATGACATGTTATGCTCCGATATTATCCCGCGTTGGGCAATTATTGGCTGGCTTATCTCATCATGTACAAACCCGATTGCATCGGCTAATGCCAAGCTGTCACTATTTTACGATTGGCTCTTCTTCGATCCGGCAAAGGATAACATCATGAATATTGAGCCCGGCATTTTAGTGATGTACCACTCTATACGGAATCATCCCTTTGTCAGCAGCACACTGCTGGACTTTTTGTGCCGCATCACAAAGAACTTTTACATAAAGAACGAGGACAAAATCAGATTGGGTGTATATAATTCATTAAAACTGATACTCGATAAACAGGTAAGAGCTGGCATAATAATATGATTATCGCTGAACAGTCACTAATTTCTTGAATAGGTCATTCCAAACTTACACCCGCTATTTGAATCGCCGAAACTTGACAGAGAATTGCGCAACCTAATACGGGAAAACTTTAGGGAATTTGTATCCCCCGTTGCAAATATGCCACAATCTATATATCCGGCAACACATTCAATCCAGGCACCAATATTTAAAAAAGAAGCTGATCAACGGATGCTGCAAAGTGGTAAATAATATTCTTCGTAAATATGCTTAAAACACGTTTTGATATTTTCCGAATATATTTGCAGAAAACATTGACGTTGGCAGCGGAGCATTCGCGGCAAATAGTGGCACCATTTCACTTGTGGACGACGATAACAAAATAGCTATAACACCTGTTGAAAGTTCGGAACGTGAAACTGAAGCTGTATTTAGTGATGACGATGGTGAAAACATTGCAAGATGTAACAAAAATGATGAAAATACGGATGACGACGATGACCTACCACTGTCAAAAGTTAGTATTGCCATCAATGGCAACCTGGGCTTATCAATTATTATCTAAAATTGCCACCTTTTTTTTAAGGTTCGTCTTAAGGAAAAGCCAGTTCCCGAAAAAGTAGAGTTGCCCGACGCGATAGCCGAATCGTTTGAGATATTTGTTACAAAACGCAACTCTTTTACATGGGAAGCATTTTTGAAAGATTTTCGTACTCTACCTGCCTCAACATTGGACGAAACGCAGCTCAATTATGTGATCTCAAACACGGTTTTGATACTCCGTGAAACATTGCCACAACAAAACGTATTTTCAGAGAGTAAAACCGAGGAGAAGTATTTGGCTAAGAGCATTAGCTATCCGCTGTACGGTCTATTTCGCTTTCTGTATGAGAATGAAGACAAAAGCAAAAAGCCCTTTCAAACCCTACTATCTGAAATATGTGAGCGGTTGAGTGAAACGGGCTATCTACTTCTCTACTTCATGAAGATACATTGCAAGCTGCAGACGCGAAAGAATGCCCAGCAATCGTATCAGTTTAAGACGACTGTTTATAGACAAATATGCGAGGCTACGGATGAAAAGATTGGCATTTGTCTGGTGCGAGACCTTGATTTACTTGAAAAGGAAAATACCACAATATATTTGTGGCTGCTGCCTGATATTTATAGAGAGTTCAAAACAATAGCCATTAATAATACGGACCTTTTGAGAATAACTCTACGCTGCGTTGACGCAAAAAACGTACGTGACATTATGTATTCAATTGCACAGGGCAAACTGACAATATTCAAGCAAGACGGTCTGATTGATTGCATACGGGAAAGCCTCGAGTATGAGACATACGAACAGTTTTGCCTATGGCAACTTATTCAGGCCCATGATGTACCTCTAAAGTGTATACAGGTAAGTCAAAATTCTAATAATTATGTCAAATATCTTCCTCCCTTACGTGTTGAATGAAGACACACTCATTTTAAACCAAACAAATAAAAACAGAAGATGATCTAAATAGTAGTAGCATGTAGACTGCTTCTTATAATACAATATGTTTTCAAATTTTTCGTTATTTTTTTTAGGATATACTTCCAGAACTAGAAGCTGCTAATCATCCCGAAGCGCTAAGTCATTTGCTGCTGCTGTTGAAAAATGAGGAGCCAACAAGTGAAATAATTAGACTTTTGCTCAGTAGGGAAGCGAAAACCAGAGGGGATCCGTTCGTCACGTCTGCCTTAAGGTGCATTACAACTTAATGCCTATGATTATGTTGTAGTTTAAATGATTTCCTTTAATGCTTTATTAATAGATTTTGGTGTCAACGTTGTGAAGAAAAACTTTCCGAAATTATCGCATCCCTGCTTACATCAAAATATCCTAGTTCATCGCCCAACAAGAGGAAGCGACCGTCTAAAGGTAGCTCCGCTGCAAGCAGTACGCCATCTGCTGATCACGTGAGTAGTTAACTTATGTGGCAATTGACATTTACACTAATTATTTATTTTCTTCTTTCTGGTATTGGTATAGGTATTAAATCATCTTGAACATTATAGAAGGAGTTGTAGGCATGGAACTGGCACCGGGCTCTATGTTCATGATATGATGCAGCGAGCCCTACAATCAGCGTATTCACATAGCAATGAAAGCACAAAGGTAAATTCAACCTCAGTCCAACCAATGTTCTTTTCACCAAATCGACATTCTTTTTGAGCAGAAACAGTTCAGTGATCTTTTCGCCTTGGCAGCGGAAGATGAGACCACTGCTGTGGGTCGTCGAGGTGGTAGTGGACGCGGTCGAAAGCAACCAGTTGGTAAAAAGGACTCAAATAACCATAATGCGGGCAGCAAGAAAAATTCGGATGTTGTGAAAACAATATACTCGTCTGATGAGAACTCTAGTGAGGTAGGCGGCAATCGTAAATGAACCTTGTTAAACAGACTTTCCATATAAATATATATTTAACTATTCTAGGAGGATTGGTCAAAGCATAAAATTACACAGGCAGCAAAGAAAAGAAAAAAAGCTATAAACGATTCCGACTGACAGTGTCAACGTCAATTGCCGCCCTCAGTCTTAACCGGTTCCTTTGATGATGAAAATTATACAAGAAATGAATATGAGTTTTTGAACGAAATTACTTAAGTTTAAAATGGTTTAAGATTTTATCAATTTATAATTAGTAAAATCAATTGTAGAATTTTTTTAATGTTGAAATTGTAACGTTATATTTTTTTATTTTTAATAAAAATCAAAAAAGTTTATTCAACAAATTTACATACTTTTATATGTCCAAAACTCGGATTTAGCTGTTTTTATATGTGATTCATATTCATTCATTCATTAAAAAACAGAATATTCGTCCGATTTTTCGTTTGGCAATGGGTTCGTTTCTAACAAAATTCAGATTCTCAAAATAAACAAATATATCATTTTATTTAGGTTCTTTGTTTTTTAGATTCTGAAACTTAACACACACAATTATCTAATTCAATTATTAGGCATTACAACTTACCTCTTGACAAATCGACCCTTTACACTTTTTTCGACATCCACAGATGTCACAACAACACATGTTTACTTCAAGTGTCAAGCTTCTTAATTATAAACTAAACGCCGTCACTTAATTTTGAAGTAATAACTGTCAATTTCTTTTACATACAAACAGCTGCATTTTTGACAGCGACATAACTGCGCAGGGTTTCTAAGACATAATTTATCGGAAGGAAAAACGATTAGTCTTTTATTAACAGCACCTTAGCAGAAACTGTTATAAGGTTCTCCGCCGTTAGCACGGACACACCAGACGCACATACACATAGACGAAATATAATAACCAATTTGTTAATAATGAAATTATATATACATAATAAACAATTGCATACATCGATTGCTTAAAACACATATTTAGATCATTAAAGACTTTGTTTTGATTTTGGCTTTTGTGTAGATCAGTAATAGTATTTATTAAATTGGCAAGATGGAAATGTTCGTTTTGACCGGTGTAAATATCAACAGAACGAACATATTTATACAGCATTATACTAAAAGAATATTATTTTTGTTTATCTTTAACTTTTTAAAATACCCATACTTGTGCAAAAACAAAAAATGGTTTAAGCAAGTTAAGCAAACTGATTGTCAAGAGCGAAAAAGATCCGGTTACAAATGCACGCACACACACACACATACATACATACATACATACATACGTACATACAAACATAACAATAAATATTCGACTTGCCTCCATTGGTAACTCAAAAAGAAGCTTTTGACTCTCTACTCTTACAATGACGATGGAAGTTAAGTTTCAAGCTGCGGAGATCAATGTTGTGAAAGCGTTTGCGCTCGTTGCGGTGTTTGTTGTCTACGTACTCAGCTCAACTCTCAAAAAAAAAAAAAAAGAAAACAGAAAGCGATATTTTGCAAAGTTACAAAAGAAAAAAACAGTCTCAAGAGTTGTAGACCTCGCGATATTGCCATAAATTATCAACATGTATATTACTGCACTTTGCTTGAGTTATTAAACAGTTCATTTGTTTATGCATATTTATGTGCATGCATGGGCAAAAACAACTCCAGTGACCCTTACGAATAAAATGGTAATTTTCTGCAAAAAGAAAGTTAGCTGATTTAGACGTTAGTAAGTCAACTTAACTGTCAGCTCATATAAAACAAGTTTGTATTAAAGAGAAATGTGCCGTTTATTATTATTATTATTATTTTAAAAAAAGGTGTTGGTACATACACATGCCCAGCGTGTTTTTTAATTCATCTGTTGCTTGTTGTGCTCATAAACATGTACAAACATGTTCGTACATACATACAAACATACACACATACATGTGTACTGTTTACATAAACCTTTTTTTGCTTTCCTCGATTGAGCTTTAAATAGTGATTGTTCCAAAAACAAATTAAATGCAATTTGTAGAAACGCATTTATTAACATTTTAAGAATTTGTTGATTGCAGACGCTAACGAAAGTCAGCCTAAGTCGTGGCCTTAATCTAGTTTTCAAACAATTATATGAAATTGATTAATTGCTCCGTTCGTGTCCACGTCGATAAATCAAATTATCGATATCTTGACCCGTTTTAAAAAATCGATTAGCATCAACATCGACATCTATGTAAACGATGCACATGTGTTCATGCATAGCATTTACATTCCCAGAAAGTTTGTCTTTTTGGATATCAACCTTTTCACCATCTTCGCACTTTTGCATTGCTTTTATATAAACATATCAGATACGAAGTTTATTTCGGAATAATGTAAATTTAATACAAATAGTCAGAAGACCTGATTTTGCTCTAAAATAGAACAGCAGCAATGGTTAACTAGATTAAACTAAAAACTAAACTAAGCCAATGTTGGCAGCTGGTATTGGTTAGGAATTTTGAAGTTATATAGATGCATTGAAGGCAGATTCAAACAGGAATACATACATACATGCAAATGTATGTTCATACATACAAATGTACATATATACATATTGACATACATCCCTATACACATGCATGTAACACGCATGCATACATGCATATATACATGCATGCATACACGCATGCATACATGCATATATACATGCATGCATATATGCATGCATACATAACACACACACACATACATACATACACACATGCATACATACACATACATACATACACATACATACATACACTTATACACACATACATACACACATACACAAAAAAATAACCAACAAAAATAAAAAAAAAAGCACTACTCTACTAACTGCAGAGCCTACTTGAATTCTTGAGAATCGAGGAGGAGAGCACTTGGTAGAAATTCGATTTATTTAAATTTGCAGCACAGTAACAAAAAAGCTTGTTCTGCGTTTGGTATTAGAACACACACACATTCATACACACACACACATACATATATATATAAACACACACACATATATAATATTTATGCGCGTTCGTAGAAAACACCTGTATTATTATAACCTTTGCTCCAAATAAGCCAACTATTTAAGATTTATATAGAATCTATACATTATTTATTGCTAATTCTATATATACAATTTTCAGAAATATAAAAAATGGGGAACTCGGGAAGTGCGCATAATATTAATAGCGAAAGATCGGGTTTGCATCGAAATTCGCACTTTCAAACACGATTCGAGCACCTAAACCAGAACTCACGTCGTCAGTTTCAATGGAACAAATCTGGCTTAAGATCAACTTCGCTCAATCCTCAGCGTAGCTTAAACCCTGAATGGCGAAGATCATATCCGTCCACGATCATGAAAAGAGAATCAAATTCTCAGCTAGAAACGCCACTTAAAGTGTTACCTGAATTGGATAAGCGTTTACATCTGCGAGCTACTTCAAATGGTGCAATATTAAATTCCGGGGGTACGATAAGTGGCCGGAAACAAAATGAGAACCTAACCCAAAACATTCCAAACATACTCAGTCAAAGATCCAAAACGTTTATAATCGAAAATGTGAAAGACAGAACCTCGAGCATAAATGAAAAAATTGATATAAAGCCCGAATTTACACGATCACAAACCCTACTTTACGCAAAGGGCAAGATCAAAGATGCCGACCTTAATGCCAATGAGTCAAATCTGTCTCGGATGCAAAGACACACGTATTCAGAACCTGAGCTCATCAATAAAATAAGTTCCCCAGTCACAATAAATACTCAAGAGCCTTCCCCCTCGAAGCCCAGCAATCGAAACAAGTATTCAAAAAAGAGAAGAGCTCCCGAAGTACCGCAAGCAAACATTATAGCTACACCATTTACACAGAGCAGCAAGGACGTTCTGCGAAATACTCAAATTGCAAAAGATAATGCCAAACCCATGCATTATGCAAAAAACTCAGACCGCAAACTTGGCAAGCAAACAAGGTCAGATTCATTGAAGAGAGATAATGAGATAAGCAGAAGAAGCATAAAAGAAACAACTTTTCAAGTTAATTCAGCGGGGTGTTCCAGGATCCCCTTTCGACGCGAAAAGAGTTCTGATGCTATTCTGTTAAGAAATCAAAAACCAGATCAAGCCGATGCTTCAAAGAACACGGCGTTACGTAATGGCTATCAAATCAAAAATCCAATTATTGAGCCAATTAGTGCGCCTGTAGTCAAGAATTTAACTCAAAAAGATAAGTTGGAAAATGGAGTTTCCGTTCAGGATAAAGTATGTCAACGTACGTTTTACTTTGGCATGGAACTCGATAGTCCCGTCGATGTTACACAGTCGTCAAATACTGGTAAGTCTGGCTGTCTTTATACATAGGGTACTTTAATTCCCATGAAAATATTTTTAGTTGACGAAAAACTCCTGAGTGAGAACAAGTCATTGTCAATGAGTTCGAACTATGACATTGAATACAAGGAAACGACGCGTCTGGAGGAGAGTTTAAATGACAATGGTTTACTTGTGCGTATTCGGCCGACTCTGCCGCGTCGACAAGTGGAAACACCCTCGTTCAGTCCAACATTAGCTTGGCGTTCCCTACTCGAACAACAGGATTGCATAGATAAATTAAAGATATTGAAAAGCATAAATCATAATTCTACCATGCCTACCAGTGAGATGCCCATTCAGCCTAATCGAACATTACAAATTCGACAGCTCTCCAGGCCGAACCACCTGCTTACAACGTGGACTCCTGAACAAGATCTGGGCGATGAGCACGATGACAAGCTCAAGGGTCTTAGTACAGAAGATGACTCCAGCTCGGATGAATATCGCTCTAAATGCGACGAAGACGGCTTCCTTTTCTATGGCAGCAAGAAGAAAAATGTATGCCACGACAAAGTTGCGCCCATTCACACATTCAGTCTCTCGCTTCCAAGGGATTCTCATATACAACATACTCGCAGCAGCGGAAATTTCAACACAGGCGAAGTATGTATAATGATAACATTTTATATATAACATTTCCTTCATAACATTTCCAAGAAATGCGATGCACAGCAAATGAGATTCACGTGAAGTTTCAGCCAAATTTATGAATGCTATAATTTGCGATAATGTCGGGATAGGAAAGTATCAATTTTAGATAATATGTGTTTTGATACATATAATACGAATGTGTTAACAACTTTTCAAAGTTGGCTTCAGGGTATCGCTTAGTCGGACATTCGAGGAAAATACTATACCACAATTTGAAAACAACATTTTCCATTGGATTCTGGAAATTTCTGAGTTCCGCCAAGGAGGAATAGATTTTTTTTTAAATTTTAAGCATCTCTCAAATGAATTTGCACAAAGATCTTTGAATACGAGTTTTCAGTTTCGCGTTGACTTGATTAATTTATGTATAGAGATATTTCTTGAATATATATATATATATATTTTCTTATTCAAAGGTTTGTATCTACAAGAGCCTGCAGAAGTCGAAGCCCGAAAATTATTTAAAGGGCACCGATCCGTGCTCTTATAACCAAAGAAACTCAAGTTCGCATGCCCAGCTGGAAAATATATGTGTTACCAATTTCGAATGCTCCAATAATTGGATGCTTCATAAAAATACGAGTAGCACGGAGCTGTATACGAAAAGTCTGGAACATGGTAAAAGGCAAAGGCTGGTTACCATGGAGCCGCAATCGATTAAATTTCTAACTGGTGGAAAGCATGTTATGTACCTGCCAGGCAGCAGCGATCAGCCAAATCCAGCGAAAGCCCATCCAACTGAGCCCCAAGACAATTTGCTGCCAGCCAAAACGAGTCGTCACTTCAAAAGTCGACAGCGACACATGCCCCAAAGTTTGCAAGACAAAACGCCAATTTTTCCCATTAAGGTAAGTACGTTTCGCATTGCCTGTGTAAATCAAAATAAATTGGAATTTAATAAATTACATTTTAATTACAGTCTAACGACGAAGAGATTGCCAAATTGGACGATGATAAGCCATTTCATCAACGTTTCCTATTTAACAATCCCGTACGCTTGTTGGAGAAAAAGTTGCATGCAGATAAATCTGTGAAGCCCGCTAAGCTTAAAATGTCACTGGACGGTCAACTTGAAGCGTTAAAAAAGTACGCAGTAAATAATCAAGCGATGTAGTTTGTAATTTTTGCAATTTCTTATATTTTAGGGTTGAGGAAGATTTTCAACGCAACCGCGCCAACGAGAAAGAAAACATACAGCATCAATTGCGACTTTACTTTGGCACAGATGACGAACAGTATCACAGCTTGCCCATAGCCCCGGTGCTTGATAGATTTTCAGCTATAAATCTCAATGACACGGATGGTAAACTGTATCGTCGTGATGATCCCGATGGTTGTGTATCAAATGTCGTTCTTGAAAATGAGGATCAAACGATAACATTTGCTACGAAAAATATTTTAACCTAGATTTGTAAACATATTCTTACACTTATTTAAATACACTGCCCGTTAATAAATAGAAAACAATGTTAATGATTTGTTTAATATTACCAGATTTCAATGCCATCTAGAGGTAATGCGAGTGAAACCTTATAAAAATCGGTTGAGTCCAGATTTACTAAATCCGTGTGGATTGCGGACAGCTTGGTTTAATGTTATCGATAACAAGATTCTTTGTTGATGCACACCAATGTGGGAAAGGCTGTTAATGTTCAATTTAACATGATGTCATTCACAATCGATACGTAACCGAATACAAAAACATTCGATACTATCGATATATTTTGCCAGCTGGGTAATTCTTCGTTTTTAGTTGTTGATGAAAAAGGCGTCCAAACGATTTGGGGTTTGGGTCCGTTCTTAAGTTTCTTGTATATTTTTATTGATACAAATACTATCAATTACTGATAACACTCTGTTCTATATATTCATTGTTCCAAAGTCGAGTGGAATCTTACTAATCATGGAGCTATTGAAGAGTATCAATAATAAAGAAATTTTCATGGAGGTACGAAGAGATGAATCCATTGAGAACAACAACATTTACATTTTTATTTACTACTAGGTTCTCCATTTGTCTATTGAGTTTTTGATTGGCAACATCAACGACCAACAAGCACTACGTTTCTCACACAAGTTCGGCTTCCAAAATCCCGACGATTTCTTACTTGCCACGCGCACAATATCGAAGTACTACAAGCAATGTTGTTCAGATGGTGGGGATACGGATATTTCTGAAAAATTGTCCTATTTGAGTCCAGAGCTAAGACCGCTTGTGCCCTTGGTGCTCGCGGCGAGACTCGATGCAGTCGAATTAGCCCTTGGAAGAAGCGAATACCTTAAGAATCACGTCAAGTTTGTGATGTCCTTCTCCTGGGACACGCGCCTTATATTGGGCGACAGCAGTTTTAGAAGCAATATTCGGCAAGTGGCAACAATAAATTTGCATTGCCAATCAAATTCGAATCGCGAAGTTATCTACTTTGAAATGGATTTAAAAAAACTATGCGCTATGATTGAAGTATTAGAAAAGTCTCTTAAGAGCGACTAAATTGTTATAATATAATTCTAAATATTCTTAAGACTATATTTATGCAATTGTAAATATGTACATACATATATTCCCAAAATACAATATGTTTATGTATGATTAGAAATAAACTAGATAAAAACATTTACTTTTAACAAAAACATAATCTATACTTGCTCGAGCTATATTCCGCGAATGTAATTCTACATTTTTGTTGCAAACATCGAATATTGTGGTCTATATTCCAAGCTTATAACCTCTAGACATGACTGTTTTGACTCGATGTAAAATAAATTAACTCCATACTTCATGACGTCAGAAAAGCCTCCACACTGAATCATACATTTCAGTCGAATTGTAAGTCATCCGTTGGAAATACGCATCCGATTTTTGTTTAATTTCATTATCATCGTAAAATAAGTAGACCAGGTGATCCAGCATTTCAAGGAGTTGGGTTTTAATTTAATCTGTCATAGTAGCCTATATACTATTATAACAATAACAACAAAAATATGCCAACGAGCAGGCCTTGGAAGCGCTTTACAAAGCTTATACTACTTGTTACTAACAATCCGTTGCTAGATCGACACAAATCATAAATATGTTGGCAAAACAAACTATTTTTTATCATAGAAATGTTTATGTAGAAATAAGAACAATATCTTAAAGCGAGCTACACACTCATATTTTTAAAAATTTAGATTATGAATATCATAAGGAATACATTGAATATTCTCTTAAATCTGGTTTTTACTTATTTTTTTTATTATATATATAAATTATGTTTTGTATACAATTAAATTTGCTATTTTTAAAAATATATAACGTAATATTTACAATCATAATAAACAAATAATTATTAATGCATTATTTCAAATTATTTTCTTTTTTTATTTTTACAATGTTATCCAAATACGCTCTGGGGTTCCACACTGTACTTACTTTGGGTATGTACATTTTTACATGCATGTTCAGCTTAGCTAATTAATAAAGGCAAATTTTAAGCATACAGCCGCATTTGGGCTGAATGGGCTCAGAACGAATTACATAAAATATAGTTGGACTGAAATACTCACTAACTCAGCTTATACCTGCAGCCAAATACTGATTCTTGTAGTAATAGGCACAAATGCCCACAACAATCGAAACAGCCGTTGTCATCATAACCGACTTTGGGGTTAAGATCTTTAAAAACCATTTACTTACATTATAATTAGATTTCGAAGAAACTGAACGTCGCAAATTGATCCGCGCTTCCTCCAGTTTACGTTGTTCTTGCCTATGTTTGGGAAATTGAAAACAAATTCAAAAGCTGCCACGTGCAAAATGCTGCTGCACTTACTCAATTTTGATAAGTTCCTCCACTTTCTTTTCAATTACGGTCAAACTATACTTGTCATATAATTTGCTGGATGTTATTAATAGATCCTCAAACGGTAGATCATCTGGCAACTGCAAGTTAGCCAATTTAGCATTAGATTCGTAGATATTGCAATTAACTTACCTTTGATAAGAGACAATGCACTGATGCCATATCACAGTCCTCTTGTAGAATAACATTCGCCCTATGCAACAGAATTGCGGCAGTAACAAAAATAGGTGTATACATGGGTGAAGCTAGAAAATAATCGTACAATCGCACGACCGCTTTGTAGGAATTCAAGCTGTGTCCGAACCAGGTCAAATACCACGGTAAGGCGAACAAGGTGCCAACTGTAGAACGTTGTAGAAAGTGAAAAAGTTCAGGCTGTTCGAAGAGGACCACAGGCCAAATAAACATAAGTCGTCTCTGGGTTGCCTCCATTGTTTCCTGCATACATTCGGAGAAGTGCGTCGTAGAGAGATGTTCCATTATGGCGAAGGCAACTTCTTCGCCAGCGACCAATAGAAATGTTACTGCCACATCGTGATAGCCCTGATAATAGCGCAAATTTGGGTACTTTTTAATCACTCGCAGTATAAGAACTGTCAGCTGGTCCTGCAATGCTATACGTTGCTCGTATGGAATGCCTGGCGGAAAGCGCTTCAGTGACCGATTTACATCAAGCACAACTTGATGGTATTCCGGATGGCTTTGTAATTCATCGAGAGTCGGAGCTCGCTCCAAATCCTTAACATCGACACCCGCCAACTGGGGCCACAAAATTCGTCTGAGGTCATCGTTCACCAGTCCATAATTGCTAAGCGCCAGCTCGCGCAGGGCTGCGAGTGGAATGCGGTTCTCCGGGCTCTTGGCAATGAGTTCTTCAATTGCCAATCGCTTTGTGCGTTCTTCGTCGCTTTCTGGACCTACAAGTTTATGCGTTTATATATATATGTGTACATGTGTAAACTTAATTATTTGTCTGGTTTGAATGACATACATTTTTCGAAACTAAGAGGGGGAAGTTCGACTTTAGTTTCGTCAACATCGCTCATCATTGACAAACTTAATTCGGCTTTTATCGTAATCGCTCACAATTAATCAATTAGTAATTACTAACTTTAATTTCTATAGATTTATTACTTTGACAAACTTATTTGTGAACACTCATTTTATCGGTTAACTTTTGTTCATCTACAAGAAAATGTATAATTATTGTCATCGCTAAAATAGTGCCGATAAAAAAATCGAATATTCGATTTCTAGCTTTTTACAGTGCATCACTTTACATTAGCATTAGCGGCACGAAGTTTTCTGTCTGTGACAAAACTATCGGTTGATCATGAAAGAAATATAAACAAATTGTTAAAAAAAAGTAATTTAAAAGCTATTAAACGCTGTTTTAATATCACAAGAAATTACTTTTCTGCTATGCTAGGTACGATAAGCATGCGGTACACTAAAGACAATTTGTTTTAATACAAATAAGGAACCTGGAATTGAAACACATAATATGTTGGGATGCTGATAAATGCTTACTGTCAGCTTCTCGCGGGTGTTTAAAATGAGACATATAAAGGTGACCGCCTGCCACCTTTTAGTCCGCCGTCCAAAAAAACGGCGACAGCTCTGCTTCCTCATGCAGGCGCTAAGGATGTGGGTTACAACAGGATGGACCTAAAAACCACATTATGTCAAAATCCAAACTCTTGGACTCTCCAAAGGCGGCTACTCATCTGGCAAGATGTCTCCGACCATTGCCAGTAGCAACTGATGCTCGTGTGCTCCAACTACTCCAGGTCGAAGTTAGGTTCATCCCCTAAAATCAAGATAATGTTGAAATTAGAAACTTAACCAAACCTTGGTCATGGAACTGGCCTTTGACCGTCAGCTGTCTAGTGATAGTCGGTTAAGACTAGACAGCCCGATAAAATTTCTTCAACCCAAGTTGGCGCAGCATCATGTCGAGGAACTTGTTTCGAAGGGGTCGCTCAGCGAACTTAGGAGAAAAGCCGTCAATTGGTGCGAGTCGAGCAAGCCAAGCCCTCTTATGGATTTTGGTAACCCTTCAGGTATGTAACCCACATTTTTATATGGTTTAGAGGCGAGAGTCCACGTCGGCAGGCATAGTCAGCTTATGCTACAAGACAGCTCTAAAGAGCCTTAGTTCGAAAAACAGTTGAACTCCATATACAGAATCCACTGGGAAACTTCTCTGGTATGTCTGCTGTAGTCGTTGTCTGCTTAAACACAATTCAGTTGGTGGCACGATCAAATTGGATTCCTTCTTTAACGAGAGAAATCAGAGTGATTTCCCTTTTTTCCGTGCCTTGCCCATGGAACACGGAGCCTTCCGTGAGATTTCTGTACAATTGCAGTTGATTCTAAATACTACCTTAACTAAATTGACATGTTTAATAGGTTGTAAAGAAATTTCACTTATATTTTTTTAAATAATTTATTTTGTTTTCGTTTCAAAGCAATAAAAATTAGGCTTAGATGTAAATTTGTTGGTATATCTAAACCTAAAAATACATATGTATATACAGATAAAAGAATGTTTACTTTAAATAGTCTTGTTTCTTTTGTTGTGCATTTTGCTGGTTCAGAATTTTCAAAAAAATATATTACTGATCATTTTGGAAAAAGCCCAATTATAAAGCCCCATTATATAGTTAATATAAAATTGTGACAGCCCTAGTTTAAATTATAAATTGATTTGTGAAGCTTCAATTAATAATCAAATGTATACAGTCCTCTTGAATAATACAAATGTTCCCGAACAAAAAGTCTTGCATATAAAACGGGTAAATATATAAATCTCAAATGAATGCGAAAATAATTATTTTAAATGCCAAAAGGTGGAAAAGTCTGTTTATAGCAGGCGAGCAATGCATTTTATGATTATAATCGCAGTTTGCATTGAAGTTATAATAATAATAATAAAAATAAAAACAATACTTGGGTTTAAGTCTGAATTCACTTAATATTACTTATACATATATATATATATGTGTGTGTGTCTAAGTTATACATATATTTATATGTATATATGTATACATATATAATAATTTAAGAAAGTAAGAAAGTCATTATTGATAGCTTAGACTACATAATATTGATACATAAGTATAAAAGCAGTAAGTCGAATGTTTACACATGTTTATGTACATTAATCGAGATTGTAAATTTATCTATAATCCTGGCGTATTTGTCCGGATTAATATAAATACTTTTAAATGTATTCATTTTTTTTTTTTGTAATAAATTTTTGTTGACATTTAATTTTAGTAAATACATTATATGTGTATATATCTTGAATATAATTTAAATATTTAAATGTAGTTGTCATATTAAAAAATAGTTAAAAAGATTACATAATGTATGCTTAGATCTATTGGAAATTTTAAATAGATTGTTTAAACAGTTAACATTAATAATTAGAAAAAATAGCTTTTATAGGTGTCTAAATTTTATATGCGCGTTATATTGATTGCATCTGTTATTGATTCCCTTCTTAGAAGTTGTTTGGTATCATTTTCTATTTCCATTGGCGATATTGCCGTACTGTGATCATTCAAGTACGGTGTGTCTTCCTCTACAATTTTTTCGAGCAGTATGTCGCCGGAATTATTTAGACCTGTGAAACTTTCTTAAATTAGTTCATATGCTAAAAAGCAAACTAATATGATTATTGCGAAAATTTACATTACCATTACGCCCTACTATCTGACCGTTAGATATATTTTCTGTAGAGCTACAATGTACGACTGCGACATCCGTTGGAGAGGGCGAGCCATTGC